ATTCATTTATTTTTTTAGCCTTCAAAAGGACACTAAAAGCTGGGTACAGAAGCTCGCACCTGTAATCCCAACACTTCGGGAAGCCAAGGCTGGAGGATTGCTTGAGCACAGGGGTTCAAGACCACACTGGGCAACCAACATAGGGAGACCCCGTCTCTACCAAAATAAAAAAAATTAGCCAGGCGAGGTGTCATGTGCCTGTGGTCCCACCCACTAAGGAGGTTGAGGCAGGAGGACTGATTGAGACCAGGAGGTAGAGGCCGCAGTGAGTCATGATCAAGCCACTGCACTCCAGCCTGTCTTGAAAAGGAAAAGTTAAAAGTGTAGCCTGTCAGCCTAACTAAATCTTAAGAGTACTATACATGTTTCACGAGAAAGAAAAGACACTAAAAGATCACAAGCAGTGTCACAAATTCAGACATTTGACAGGTCAAAGTTAAATGAAAAATGAATTTAAAAAACAAAACAGGTACACACATATCCCAAGATTTTCATAAAACTGTAAGTGGGCCAAAAATGTAACACAATCACATTCTGCTATGGAACTTTACACAGTGCTAATATTCTACAACTCATATTGTAATAGTCAAGTTCGGCTTCGTGGTAATATGTTAAAAAACACTTGAAGAAAAACTTTTCTATCACACAGCAAATCGCTTTTGGGTATTTCTGAAGACAATTCAATGACAAGGGAAAATGTTCATGATGTAACACTACATGAAAAATTAACTCATAAAGTTATGTAAGAAATATTCTAATGACGTAAAGCACATGAATTTTACAAAGTATACTTTAAACAAAAACATCAAAATTTCAACAAGTTAGCTCTTGATTGTGGAATTACAAGGGACTTCTTGAAAGAATGCTGCCCTTTCATAATCAGAAAAAAGCAAATTCTAAACAGTTTCATATTATAACATATATGATACATAATAGACATACTATATGAACTAGCACATTCCAGTTTTTAAATACCTGGATCAAGACTGTGGTTGGGAACAGAGCTGGCACTATCTTATTCACCCAGCAGCAATTTTCTATACTAACCTCCTCCCAAATGCATTAGATTCTACTAATTTCACTTCACTTCCTCCAAAATAAACTTAGCACTTATAGTTTGAATGAAGTTCCCCCAGGTGATTCTGCTATACTCTCATTTCCCACCCCTTTGAGAACCACTCATCTAAGAAAGAAGCTTTTACGGGATTTTCCAGAATAGTCTACAAACTAGCTTCAATTTAAATGATCAAAACACTATGATAAGCCACAAGAATGTGGCCAACAGGGTCACTACAGGGGATAAAGTAGAAGTCTTTGGTTTTTAGTTCCAAGCAAAACTTAATCCAAGAAAACATACTGAAAGAATATGCACCATCCAAATAATAAAATCAGTATTTGTTTTACATTAAATGGCATGTATGTATTAAAATGACCTAAAGGACTATTTGAAAACACCATATCAAGGTTGGGCATGGTAGCACACTCCTGTAATCCCAGCAGCACTTTGGGAGGCCGAGGCGGGTGGATCACTTGAGGACGGAAGTTCGACACCAGCCAGGCCAGCACGGTGAAACTCTACTAAAAATACAAACTTAGCCGCAGTGTGGTGGCACACGATTGTAGTCCCAGTTACTGGGGAGGCTGAGGCAGAAGAATCGCTTGGACCTGGGGGGGCGGAGGTTGCAGTGAGCTGAGATCACCCCACCGCACTCCAGCCTGGCTGACAAGAGAAAAACTCTGCCTCAAAAAAAAAAAAAAAAAAAAAAATTATCAATAATATGCCCACCTAAAAAAGAAAAACAAAAAGCAACTCATAAAATGTAGTCACCAGAAGTGTGTACAACTGATCGGCGATTTAATATAGTAAAAAAGAAAAAACAATCAGGAATATGTTGTGGGGCTACAATCAGTATTTTAAAATGAGATCAGATCCTGCTCAATGTTCTCCCCAACGCAGAGAAATTCTTGCCAAATTTTTACTTACACGTTCATTTGACACTAAAAACACTAACCACAGTTACTCTTGCTAGGCAGCTTTATGAAATATCATGAACTAGAATGTAATATCATTGAAAATCCAGGTGGACAAAATTTTCTTTGAAGATTAAAAATAATTATTTACTAGAAAATTCAAGTCTGCTCTGGACAAGTCTTCCCATAGGCCTCGATTTGGGAAGGAGGTGAAAAACCAAGAATATTTAAGAATCCCTGGGTAGCACTGTCAAACTAAATATGCTTCTGTAGGATGAAGAAGTACTGAAACCTACTGATAGAATGTGTGAACACAGAACACAGAGAAGGCTGAAAAAGCCTGAAAGTCACTTGTTTAGACTCGGAGCTCCTTGAGTGAAGAGACTGTGTCTTGTCTTAGGATTGCTGGTGCCTGGCAAGGACGAGGTCAACATGTTAACGCTTGCTAAATTGAGAGAAACGTGTCTGGACTACAATTCTTACCCCCCTCCCAAAAAAAGTAAAGAAAATTGTACAAAACCAAATATTTAATTTGAATTCACAAAAACAAATGGAATCACTTAGACTATTCTTCCCCCAATGTCTTTTCCAGTAACCTTGCACAACCCACTCGTGAAGTTTAAGTACCTGTAATCATAAAAAGGTGCATCTAATTTAAAAGGATACAAACATTTTAAAACATAAATCTGTTTTATGCCTATAAAATAGATGGAAAATGAAATAAAATATAAAGAAGTTGAGATACAAATACATTTTTAAAATATTTAAATTTACAAGCAAAGTTTAAAATATATAAAATGGGGTCCGGCGCGATGGCTCACGCCGGTAATCCCAGCACTTTGGGAGGCTGAGGCGGGTGGATCACGAGGTCAAGAGTTCAAGACCAGCCTGGCCAAGATGGTGAAACCTCCGTCTCTTCAAAAACACACAAAAAAATTAGCCGGGCATGATGGCGGAGTGCCTGTACTCGGGAGGCTGAGGCGGAAGAATTGCTCCAACGCGGGAGGCGGAGGTTGCAGTGAGCTGAGACCGTGCCATTGCACTCCAGCCTGGGAGACACAGTGAGACTCCGTCGGGGGGGGGGAGGGGCGGGGGAGAGTAGGCCTCTACTTTCCCAAATGTAAACAAGACATATACATTTTTAAATTAACTGTATTTCTCTCATAGAACAGTTACAAAATACAATTTTTCTTCAAAGCAAATTTCTCAAAGACCCAGCAAGACGTTCACATCTGAAACAAAGTCTTAGGTAGTGAACACTGACTGCAGGCACCAGGGGGCCTCCCAGGAATAACTTGATAGTAAAGGAAAAGGTAAATAAGAGTTCCTGGTAAAACTTTTGCTTCCTATTCAGTCTCAAGACTGCTGGATGGCTTTCACTTCTGGAGCAAATATACAGTATTTAGTTACAGAACGGCTACACACAGAACTTGGGTTTTAGACACTGATACATTCGTTGAAAAAAACCAGTTACCCCTCCCCCATTAAAATATTCTTTGATGATTTTCCAAATTTAAGTACATGTTGCTTTACTGTAGCAAACAATTATCTTAAGGTAATTTGAAAGCAAACAGTACACATGCAATCCTTCGATGGCGGCTAACAAAGAGGCCTCTAAATTGTTTAAAAGGGATTAATGGCTTTTCTACACACTCACAAAACAATTAGTGATGACGAAAATTTTAGGGTAGAAGGACTGTTTGGCATTTAACTTGGAATAATATCCTGCAATGAATCAATACATTTAACTCCTGGCTAGTCCAACTCTTCGCTTTCCCCCCTTGCCTTCCCACCAACATAAAACTATTCGATAAGAACACCAGGGCCCGGAAAGTTCAAATGCTGCGTAGACTTGCAAATACCTTTCGAACACAAGACAGGCTTTAAAAATAGATCTTCACTAAGTTCTGCAGAAATTAAGCTCTGCTCAAATCAAACGCAAAAGCCAACATCTACATACATCACATTTCTTACGTGCATCTTCAACCTGATCAAATATTTTGTCTTACAATTTTTTTAGGCCAAATAACAAATAGTAGATAAATTCCCGCTAATTTTATCCTCTCTTTCAGAAGAATCCATTCTATGGCATCGTGTAAAAATGCAGAGCAGACGAAGCATTCCTCTTACGGACAGGTTTATATATATATACATAAAATTCACTCCCGGAACGACAATCGGAGGCAGCCAAGGGCAATGCACAGAGAGAACAGAGAAGAAACATTGATTCCACGGACACACAAAGCCCGGTGGCAGGCATCCTCTCCCCCTCCTCGGAGGGGTCACCGGAGGCGAGCACGACGGCGCGCGGACCCCGGCGGCCTTTCCGAAACGCTGTCTCCCGCAGACCCGCTCCGCACAGCCGCCGGCAGGCGGTCCTGGCCACCAAGGGTCCGCGGGAATGGCCCCCTCTCCCCCGATCTCCCCTGACCGCGCTCCCGGAGGCCGCTCCCCGGCGCCTAGCAGCCTCCTCGCCCCCTCCTCGGCTGGTCTGCCGCGCCGCGCTCCCAGAGACTGTCTCGGGGCGGGAAAAGAGGTCCCCTCGCGTTTCGGCGGCGGAGGTGGGCGGAGGTGGACGCAGGGGTCGGCGGCGGCGCCCGACCTCCCTCCGTCCCGCGGTCCGGCGAGCACTCACCCTCCAGCAGCCGGGTGATGAGGCTGTCCACGTTCAGCTCCCCGTCCGCCATCTTGTCGGCACAGACTCTCCTTCCCAGCAGCGGGAACAAGGGCTTCTCGGCGGCGGAGGCTGCGGCGACGGCTCGGCGTTCTCTCACCTACAAGTCACGCGGCGTTTCGACCCCGGCTCCAACTCCCCCTTTTCCCGGGCCCTCCCCCCACCCCCTCCCCGCCGGGTACCGAGAGCGCGCGCACACTCGGAGGCACCCACGGAAAATAAATAAATAAACAAGAGGGGCCCCCACAAACAGGGCCGCGTCAGACCAAGGCCGCCACCTCCTCGTCCTCGGCACCGCCCAGCTCCGCAAAGCTCACCAGCGCCGCCGACGGCCCCACCCGCAGAGCCACTCACTCCGCACGTCCCTTGCGCGCCGCCGCGTCACGCAGCTCTCCGCGCAGGCGCGCGGCGCGCTCCCCGCCGAGGTTCCCCTCGACGCCTGGGCCTCCGCGCAGCCGCACTGGAGCGGCTTCTGCCGCCGCCGTCTTCGCGCAGGTGCGTCGCCCTCTCTCTCCACGTCCACGGCACCGAGTTTCGCTGCCGCGGCGCAGGCGCCAAGGAGGTTCCCGGCTTTGCCGCTCGGAGGAAGCCCCGGTTACGCAGAGCGCGCTGGGGCAGGGCTCACCTTCCTCCTCCTCTGCTTCACTGGCGTTGTCCAGAGGTGGTGGTTGCACCCTTTTGGCCTCGCTTTCCTTTTCGTGGCTTCATACCTTAGATCTGCAAGCAGATCCTCGTGTTTCTTCCGTTAGCCGGGAAACGCGAACTGCAGCGTTTGGAACCCGGGTTTGCGCTTGTGAAAAGCAAGAAGGGGTTAACTCTGCTTGAGTTCGACATTGCAAATAAAGGTCTTTAACCCCGGTGGTTCTACAAAATTAGTTCCGCAGGGATTCTGGTTGAAAGAAGAGTTAAAGTGGGCCCTGTAGGAGTCAGCAATAATACAATTTTACATGGGTGCATATGGCTGCCTGTGTCTAGCGCTTTCACACATCTTGTATCTCCATCCACGCCGTGGGTATCTTTTTTCCACAGTGTGTTTCTGTTGCTGCTTCCAGTATATTGCTTAATCATCCTACCTGGTAATTATTTATGCATTTTTCTCCCACTCTCGACTCAGCTCCTAGGGGATAAAAACACACTAACTTATCTTTGTGCCCACAGCACCCACCAAATATTTCCATCACGTAATACTGCCTCTAGAAAGGCAGGAGGAGAGGCAGTCACGCTAAGGATCTAGGCAAGCCAGATCTTTTGTCCTGTTTTAGGAGGTGGCCAACCCTTACTTATTCCACAGGTGTTTTTCCGGAAACTCAGATCTAATATTGCCCCAAGTCCAAGGCAGTACTTCTCCCACTCACATATCACTAGTAGTAGCTAACATTTGTTCATATCCCTGTATGTGCTGTGCCACTGTTTTAAATGTTACACCCGCGTTACCTCATTTAATCCTTATAACAGCCCTGTGAGGTAGGTACTATTATTATCTCTGCTTTGTAGATGGGATTTACCGAGGCACAGATGGTTAAAAAACCTAGCCCAAATCACACAAATAAGCAGCAGAGCTGGGATTCAAACCCAGGCATGTAGTGCTAGAGTCTGCATTCTTAACAATTGTGATATTCTCCCTCTCTGTGAATGTGGGCTGAGATGCTGAAACAGGCACGTGCTGTGGGGGAGAAGCAGCTTTGTCCAACCAAGTGCTTTCTAATGTCCAGATGACATAGAGCTAGGATTTCCTAATGCTTTTTTCCCCCTAGTTTTCTCTCCATTTCAGGACTGAGTTTGTGCATCGATTGTGAACACAACAGGCAGTAAGCTATAATGGTGGTCCTCGCTGGAGTAGTTTTCACAGAGTCTGCAGTAATTTGTGGAGATGAACTGGCAGTTCTCTGTAGTTTTCATAGATCACTGCCAGTTCATTTTGAGGCCTTCAGGAGTGAAGACCTGGGTCATCATCGCTCTTTGTTGTTTTATTAAATTTATTACACCCTACTTTATTCCAGAGGAAAGGATTTAACGTAGTTGACATAAATGTGTACAGCAGGGTAAATTAAAAATGAGTACAGAGAAAAATAGGATGAAAGAAAACTGTGAGTGGGAAAGATAAGATTAAGCCAGCAGTTTCGTATGCAAAATGCATGGTGTAAGGTCCTATTGGTTTGCTGGAGATAGGCCACACATATGACTCCCAGTTTTCTAGCAACCAAGAAAAAGATCAGTTGCAAGTAGAGTAGGTGTTTTGGCTAAGCTGGAACTAGGACTTGAATATAGCAGCTTGTGGAGTTATGCCGCTTGCCCAGATCTCTTCCTGAGCCTCTTTAAGTGTAACAGAATGCCTGGGAGCATGTAAATAGATGCCTACTTGGCCTCTAATTTTCATGGGGCCAATGAATCCCATGAAAAAGAACTTCGAACCCTGTCCACAGTTAGAGTTCAAGTGTATGCAGACATGTTTAAAGGACAAGGGACACCCAAAGGAAACGATTGCACATTGAGAAAGCGAGCATCCGAGAGAAGATCACAAGTGAAGCAGAGGGAGGCCGGTCTCAGCAGAGTTTTGGAGGTCGTGAGAAGAAGAGATAGGAGATAGGAGAGTGGTTCTGCAGATATAGGAGAGTAGTTCTGAGTACTTGCCTGCTGATGTTACCTTCTCCACCCCCACCAGGTTTTCCAGTGCCTGGAGTTTTGGGCAGGAATGGGCCACTGTAAGAAAGAGCTTTATCCCTAGTGGCTCAGCCAACTTTTCTGTGGGATCTCCCTCCAAAATAATTATCTAAGAGTTCAGAATGCTTCAGATTTTGAAGTGAAACTGGTACATAAATTAAATGTTACTTAATAACACAATAGTTTCTGGGGCAGCTCACCATAATCCCAAACATTATCTGCCATCCTAACCCCCTTCAAAGTAAAATGTGTTTACTGAAGGAAGTTGGGAAAATGAAGAAAAAAATACAAAAATCACCTGTAATCTTACTAGGCATAGATGGAGTTTTCCTGTCTTATTTCTGAACGATGGTTGTTAAATATTTACCAGCACACCCTTAGGCTTAGGGAGGCATCTGGGTCATGCATGTTAATATACTTGGGCAATTCCAGAAATGTCTATGAAGGGAAACTCCTGTTCTTTATCTAGACTTCCTGATTGTAAGGGGTTTGGGCATCATGACTTTGGGGTCTTAATAAAATTATTATTTTATTTTTACTAATAGCTAATGTCTCTACCTATCAGATAAAGGCAAACCAGTGCTCAGAGAAACCCAACCTTCTCTGTATTGAGACCAGAGAACTGTCTCTATGGATAGTCCTCAGAGAAGGCATTTTGGAACACAGTAAGCAGCAGCCTGGTGACTGGTTAGTAAACACAGCAAAGACTTTCATAGGGATGTTTTTCTCGTATGCCTCTCAGTATTAGCCAGTAGCCAATCTGGTGTGAAAGTGAGGAAGTTTAGGTAGCAAAATGTGGAGGTGGTGACATATAGTTTCTTGCTGCTCTGGCTTAGTCCAAGATGACTTTTAAATGAATGAATCAACATTCACTGGGCTGTCCTTCCATAAATATGATTCTTCTCAATCAAGTGTTTAATAAGTCTTAAGTAGCAGTAAGTTTAAATTTTACTAGTTGTATCTGCAGAGCAGCCATTCTTTATATTACATGCCTTAAGCTTTTATAGTCAGCGCAATTCAACAAAATTGAAAAACCAGACAGGGACATATATGCATCAGTAGGAGGCCACCCCTCTCAATACAGAGCCAGGCCTAGGTGGTACAGCCAGGCAGGGCCAAGATTTGTTCTTAAAATTTAGTTTTGGTTTCATTTCATTATACATATGAGAATAGTCAAGGTGCCAAAGTTATCAGCTAAGCCATAAGGCATGTCCTCAGCCAATTTAGCCCCCCAGGATTATAAGGCAAATATAAATAAATGCTTCCTTCCCTGCCCTTGGTCAATAACCTCCCCTGTGGCCCCAACCCACTCTCTCTTCTCTCTCTCTCTCTGTTTGTCTTAAGCTAACTCCATAGTATATCCGTATCTTTCAAGATAAACTGGTTGAAAAATAAATGTCTAGTAATGGAAAGAGTTAACTGACTATTTAGAACTGTTAACTATAAGGCAATTAAAGCTACATGAACAGCTACCACAAGTAATGACTATTTAATTGTTGAAGAGTTGATCTGTGGCCTTTTTTTCTCCTAATTAGATTACAGGGCCAGTTGCCTTTGTTACAATAAAAGCAAGTCATCTACACAGGTAAGAATGTTTCTCTTTTATTGCCCCCCCCCCCCCCCCCACTGAAACAGATACCAGGAAATAACTGTTTGGTGAAGGAAAGTATACAATATGTGAATATTTGTTACAAATAAAACAATGTACTGTAAATATTTTGTTTCTTTTTTTTTTTGAGACAGAGTCTTGCTCTGTAGCCCAGGCTGGAGCGCAGTGGCAGGATCTCAGCTCACTACAAGCTCTGCCTCCCGGGTTTACACCATTCTCCTGCCTCAGCTTCCCAAGTAGCTGGGACTATAGGCGCCCGCCACCTCGCCCAGCTAGTTTTTTGCATTTTTTAGTAGAGACAGGGTTTCACCGAGTTAGCCAGGATGGTCTCGATCTCCTGACCTCATGGACCACCTGTCTCAGCCTCCCAAAGTGCTGGGATTACAGGCTTGAGCCACCGTGCCCGGCCAATATTTTGTTTCTTGTTGCTCTGTTTCTCCTGTAGTATATCCAAATCACATATAATTCACCTTTTCAGTTGGAGGTTTACTGCTAAATGGCTTAAATTTTTTTTTTGAGATAGAGCCTCACTCTGTCACCCAGGCTGGAATACAGTGGCTCATTCACAGCTAACTGCAGCTTTGACCTCGCAGGCTCAAGCAATCCTTCTACCTCAGCCTCCCTAGTAGCTGAGACCATAGGCACGTGCCACCACGCCTGGCTATTTTTTTATTTTTAGTAGAGACAGGGTCTCGCCGTGTTGCCCAGGCTGGTCTCGAACTCGTGGGCTGAAGCAATCCTCCCACCTTCGCCTCCCAAAGTGCTGGGATTACAGGCGTAAGGCACCGTACCTGGCCCTAAATGGTTTTTATAAGTCTCTGTTTCAATTGGATTTTGGTAGATAAGACAAGGAAGGCATTAATTTTTTTATGTAGTTATAAAATGAGTAGCTTCTCATAATATATGATACCACATTAAAATTAATAGCATATGTCTGTTAAAACTAAAGCCAGACTATTTGTGAGCTGTGAAATATATTCTTCAGGGTTACATCCAACACTAATAGGTCTTTTATGTAGGAAACACTGGTTAAATAGAATATTTATTAATTATTATTTAAATCTTGATTTAAACCAGATCCAGTCTATCATAATAAATTCTTAATTGAAATGCCCTATGGTACTTGTTATTTAAAAAAACCTTACAGTGAATAGAACTCTGAGGCAAAAAGAATAATGAACCAATTAAGTATTTATGAAACACTTAGTGAGTCTGAGTCTGTGTTGAAGAAGAAATGACTTCCCAACTTTCAAGTTGTTTAATGACTATGTGGGAAAATGACCACAAAATGACTTGGATAGTGGGAAAAGCATTGGCTTAGAGGTGGGAGACCAAAGCAGCTGAATAACCTTAGACAATTCTATCTTTCTGAACCTTGGATTCATTACCTACAAAATGTGCCCATTAATAAATGATCTCCAAAGCTTCTTCCAGCTCAAACAAGTCTATGATTGTAAGACATACAAATAAAACCCAAAATGTAACATAATATTGTACATGCCATCCCCAGCTCAGGAACTGGATCAACTCCAAAGGGTCAATTGTTTGGAACATGGAATATATTTTCCCACAGAGACTGTGGTACAAATGGTGGCTAAACTCTCAGATCAGTCTGCAAAATCAATTTAGTCCTTAATGTAACTATAGAAGAGTGTCCATGGCAATATGGACTCTAGCCACCAATTATAACAGACTTGATGGGGAAAATCTATTGAGGATTCCTATTTGGCATGTCAGAAAACATCTCTCAGTGTTTTCTACTACCTTGAGCAATAGGCGTGAAGACAATTCTAGTTCCAATTTACAGACAGACCAGGACCCTATATGGGAGACAAAGGCTGGGCTGGCAGCATGGAGGGCAAGGGATGCTCTGATACCTTTGAATCCTTGGGGGGGCGGGGGGGATGAGGGCAGGGTGAGTGCGGGGGGTGAGGGCAGGGCATAGTGGGCTGAGCACAGTTCTTGACGTCTTGGGGTTTGGTTGCCAGGAAGGAACTGGCTCCCAAACCAAAGGATAGGGAATGTGAAGGCAGAAGGAAGAAAGGCAGTGAACATATTGTGTTGGGAACTTTTAAAAAAATTCTACAATTACTTTTAATCTCACTCACTTTGCAATTGAGGAAGTTCTGATCTAGAAAGGTTAAATTATGGCTGGGCGTGGTGGCTTATGTGTGTAATCCAAGCACTTTGGGAATCCTAGACAGAAGGCTCCCGTGAGCCCGGGAGTTCGAGACCAGTCTGGGCAACATAGCAAGACCTCATCTCTACTAAAAAATTTCAAACTTGGCCAGGCCCTGCGGCATGCACCTGTAGTCCTAGATACTCTGGAGACTGAAGCAGGAGGATCCCTTGAGCATATGAGGTTGAGGATGCAGTGAGCAATGATCATGCCGCTGTACTCCAGCCTGGGTGACAGCAATACCTGTCTCTAGAAAACAAAAAGAAAGTTAAATTGCATTGATTTGCTGAGAAAACTAGGACTTGAATCTCAATCTCTCCATCTCAAGATTTTACTCGAAAGCTTTCATACTGTGCAAGAGCCTACTCTTTTTGTCCCCTCTCCTTCCTGCACAAGAACATCTAGAACCTCGGGTCCCCATGCCCACCCTTATTCCTATTTTTCATTCTGTGCTTTTCAGGCCAACCTGGTCAGCGATTAGCACAGCATTTTTCTGTTTTGCCCCTGTGTGTTTTAATGGTGCCATCAGCTCAAAGAATGACTTTATTGTTGTTAAAAAGAGGTTGCTCTCGCCCCTAATATGCCAGTCCAGGTTTTAACAAACCACCTAGAGAATGTGATTGAGTGATCCCAAGCTCTAGGAACATTTGGGTACTTCTAGTAGTGCCATTCCTATTAAGACAGAGCCCAACCTGGCTGGGAGATCCTATGTCCCAATGCCCAGGTGACAGGCATTCCTCATTTGTCAGAAGGGTTCCTGGCTGGAGGTTCGTAAGTGTACCATGTGCTGGGAATTTTTACTGACATGATCACGATTAATCCCTCAGAAAATCCTGCGAAGTAAGTAGTTTCCCTTTTATAGATGTGGTAATGAATCAAGGCTCAGAGGCTTTGACTTGTCTTTAGGCACCAGGTCAGTCCAATTCTAAAGCCCTGTCTGGAATACCCACGCAGTGTGATTTAGAGATGCTGGGCTAGTTAGGTGGACTAGCTCTGGGACTCTGTTGTGAGAAAAAGTGAGTGGCGGTGGGATGGGGCAGCGGATGTAACTTGATGGCAAGGATTGTTATCTTACAGCAGGAAAATGGGTGAGGCGGAGCAGAATATGGGTGGTTCTGGCAGTGGGACAGAGTCTTCAGAAATGAGAAGGAGAGGTCATCCCCAGCGACCTCAGGGGAAAAGTAGGGAATGTCTTCCCTGCACATCTGAGGGGGCTTCTTGGCCAGACAAACATTCACAATAAGCAACTCTTTTTTGTCCACATTCCTTTTTTAAAAATTTTTATTTTCGGTTTGGTGGTACACGTGAAGGTTTGTTACATAGATAAACACATGTCATCAGGGTTTGTTGTACATATATTACATCGCCCAAGTATTAAACTCAGTACCCAATAGTCCTCTTTTCTGCTCCTCTCCCTCCTCCCACCCTCCCGTCTCAAGTAGACCCTAGTGCTTGTTGTTTTCTTTTTTGTGTTCATAAGTTCTTAGCATTTAGCTCCCACTTATAAGTGAGAACATGTGATATTTGGTTTTCTGTTCCTGAATTAGTTTGCTAAGTATGATAGCCTCCAGCTCTGTCCATACATCCATGTTCCCTCAAAAGACATGATCTTGTTTTTTTTGTTGTAGTTGTTAGTTTGTTTTTGAGACAGAGTCTCACTCTGTTGTTTAGGCTGGAGTGCAGTGCCACGATCTCAGCTCACTGCAACCCCCGCCTCCTGGGTTCAAGTGATTCTCCTGCCTCAGCCTCCTGAGTAGCTGGGCTTACAGGCATCTGCCACCATGCCCGGCTAATTTTTGTATTTTTAGTAGAGACAAGGTTTTGCCATGTTGGCCAGGCTGGTCTCGAACTCCTGATTTAAGATAATCCACCTGCCTTGGCCTCCCAAAGTGCTGGGATTACAGTCATGAACCACCACACCTGACTTGATCTTGTTCTTTTATGGCTGCATAATATTCCATGGTGTATATGTACCACATTTTCTTTATCCAGTCTGTCATCGATGGGCATTTAGGTTGATTCCATATCTTTGCTATTGTGAACAGTGCTGCAATAAACATTCACATGCATGTGTCTTTATCTTAGAATGCTTTATATTCCTCTTGGTACATACTCAGCAATGGGATTGCTGGGTTGAATGGTAGTTCTGCTTTTAACTCTTTGAAGAATCACCATACTGCTTTCCACAGTGGTTGAATAAATTTACACTCCCACCGACAGTGTATAAGGGTCCCCTTTTCTGCGCAACCTCACCAGCATCTGTTATTTTTTGACTTTTTAGTAGTAGCCATTCTGACGGGTGTGTGGTGGTATCTCATTGTGGTTTTGATTCGCATTTCCCCAATGATTGAGCTTTTTCTCTTATGCTTCTTGGCCACATGTATGTCTTCTTTTGAGAAGTGTCTAGATGTTCATGTCCTTTGCACACTTTTTAATGGGGTTGTTTTTCTCTTGTAAATTTAAGTTCCTTATAGATGCTGGATATTAGACCTTTATCAGATGCATAGTTTGCAAATATTTTCTCCCATTCTGTAGGTTGTCTGTTTACTCTGTTAATAGTTTCTTTTGCTGTGCAGAAGCTCTTAAGTTTAATTAGCTCTCATTTGTCAACTTTTGCTTTTGTTGCAATTGCTTTGGTATCTTTGTCATGAAATATTCACCCATTCCTATGTCCAGGATAATATTGCCTAGATTGTCTTCCAGGGTTTTTATAGTTTGGGGTTTTGCATTTAAGTCTTGAATCTATCTTGAGTTGATTTTTGCTTGCATATGATGTAAGGAAGAGGTACAGCTTCAG